ATAATAGGTATAGTAAAATATATTAATACAAAAGTTATTGTTATAACATGGTGTAATTTCATTAATGACGGTTTATCACCGTGCGAAGCACGGGTTGGTTGCTAGTAATATATACATGTGAAATAATAAATATTTAATAATATTTAATAATAAATATTTAATAATAATTAATGAAATTTTTTTGGCTTATTGCTCGCAATGATTAGTTTGCATTTACATTAAATTTTGCCAATACTCACTCTGTTATTTAATAATAAGTATATATTAATATATATACTAATAATATAAAAATAAAATAATAAAAAAATAATAAACCATTATAATGATAAATAATTACAAAATAATATAATAAATATTAAAAATAACAAATAATTAAAATAATAATAATGTTATTTCTATAAAATGAATAAATTTATTTAATTCTTTTTTAATTTTTTTTCATACTCCTTTCTTTCAAAAACCTGTTTCTCCTAATATTATTTTAAGTATACTTTGTTGTAGAATGATGCACAGAAATGCAAGAATATCATTGCTTTCAATCATTGAAGCAGATCTGGGGACGTTTATTAGTGCTGAATGGACCGTGTTAAACAGAAAGGAACCAAGCCACATCAGCTATTGTCAAATTTAACAGGGAATTCAATTTTTACGAGAGAACGTTTGTGCGAATTCCTTTGAAAATTTTCAGAAATTTACTTTGTATTATGGAGAAAATCCATGGAAATTTGCACAAAAATCCATACAACCGTTTTCATGTAAAAGTTGTAGATCCATATTTGTAGATCCATATTGATAATGTAAGAGGCTGTAGCAAGCAGCGTGCACAAACTGAGGAAAATACAACGCGTTCGCCAAGACCCCGCATCCACGGTCCTTCTTATCAGTATCCGATACATGACTATCTGATACGCTCACCTGTAAACAAACCCCATGGATGCACTGTTGCCAAAAATTAAAAATTCAGTATCATCTACCCTCGCCCAAAAGTCCTATGATTGACAAGGGCGACCAGCGAATTACCTCGCCCAAAAGTGCCCTGATTTCGGCCTCGCCCAAAAGGGATGCGATCCCGAAGGACAGCAACGTCGGACGTAATTAGTACTTTGATGGGAGGCTGCTTGAGAACCCGGGCAGAGCGCGGCTACTCTCAGACTTAGAGTGAAATGCGGGTGCCTAGGAAACACTTCTCCGCAGTCCGCATTAAATTTTAAGAGTAAAAATGTGGAGTGCGCCTCAGATAAATTACCGAACTTTTTTTTCACTATACGTTAGGACAACTTTTTCAGCAACGTTGCCAAAACGTTAACTCGAAACGTTGCGCTCCGCGGCCAAAAGTAACGTCTTCCCAACGTTGTGAGCCAGGATCGTTACTCGATTTTTTGCGACGTTGCTACAACGAGCCATTGCCGGGCGCGCTATTCCACCCGTCAAAGTTGTTAAATTATTATTTCACCGCACTCAGAGAGAACAACTCTACTGATGCAGCACTTTCCACCGAACCTAGTGACGGCGAACAAACCTTGAGCGATCTCACAGAAATTGAAGGAGGTAATAACTCTTTGATAAATGTTTCTCTGCCTAGTCAAACTAAAGTGCCCACTAGCATAAATTAACTAAATGAAGTTTCAGGGATACTAACCCACTCAATCCCTGGTCATGCATCTGCTTCAAACTGTCGTACAAATAGCACATCAAATAATACTAGCCAAACAGATCCTACCTTGTTCAATGATGATCCTCTTGGGAAAAGAAAAGAACAACAGAAACAGACTACAATGGCGCTGGACTTTAAGGACACCGAGGCGAAAACCCATTCTCTTCATTTTTTCTCGGACAGCCACGGCCGGGGCCTAATGCACCTTATCAAAGAGGGACTACAGCTCAACTCTACTGACCAACTTAGAGTGAAGGTTATCAAGCCGGGAAAATCCTTTTCTGAAGTAGTTACCACTCTCTCAAAAACTGAAGCCAAAGAAGTAACTTAATGGGCTGGGGCTAGTGATGCATATAAGAAAGAGGCTATGAATTTTATTAAAACGTTTTTGTCTCTTCTACTTAAATGAAAATAAAGATAAGAAAATCTATCTAGTAAATATTCCGAGGAGATGAAATATTACCACTGACCCCTATTAATTTAGAGATCTATGACACCAATAAAATTCTATATATGAGTTGAGTAAATTACATAAAAACCAGATAATTATTCGGTCAGATATTATCAAGTCTCAACACTACTGTAAAGACAAAGTCCATTTGAATGTCATTGAAAAACCGCTAGGAAAAAAGATACTTGAGAGAACCGCAAAAAATTGCGATTTTTTTCAAATTTCCCGCCATTTTCAGCGCGCTCAGGCGGATGGTATACGCATGTTATCATAACTTTGATACATGATTCTAAACTAAAATTTTATGTACTTTCATTCTGCAAATAGCTCTTTTTGCCACCCGACGCACAAGGAACGAGTTATTAACGATTTTTAGTCAAAAAATGAGATTTGGCAATGTTTTTTCAAGATGGCGGCTTTAGCGGCAAAAGTCGACGGCAGAAAAGTTCAGATTCGGTCTCAGCGCTAAAAACTACATGGTAAGCATATTCAAGAAAGTTTTTCGCAAAATTTTTCAGGTAAAATTGAGTGGAGCGGTTGCGTGAAATGCACCGCCGCGGAAAACGCCCTTGGAGACCGTAACTTTGGCAACGCTGCGGAGCCGTCTCGTTACGCCCTAGGGACAAGTCTGATACACGAAATTGTAGCATTTTGAATCTACTTTCATTTGGGCACATACGCTAACCTTCTAAAATTGCTGGAAAACAAGTTGCAAGCAAAAAACCTTAAAAAAATGAAATTTTGAACATTTTGGGATTTTTTATGGCAACCTTGTAGTGGGCATATTTTTTATCTGAAAAATTTCGGACCGCGTGGAAAACGTCCGTAATTTTATCTACTTTAAGGCAAGTTCTTACACACGTACTCGAAAAACGAGAGAAAATCGCCGATTTTTGGCCGTTTTTTTCGATTTAGGGGGTTTTTGGGGAGGGGAGGGGGGTTCCCATAAAGTACCGATGTCGCAAATTTGGATTCTCGTTAAGGACCCTCTACGGATGAGAAATCAAGTGAGAAAAAAAGTTCCCCTCTCAAAACCGCATGGGGGCCATTATTATCCTCAAATGACTGGACTAGTAGTATTTGATATACATTTTTTCTGTTCGTCGGCTGGTCAACGTAAAGCAACGCGACGACCCTCACACACGGCACACGGCTGAACTTTTATACAGAATATCTAAAAAACGTTTAAGCCTATCAAAAAAATTTAAAGACGAATCTTCTGTATTAATGAGCGCTTTATTTAAATGTGTAGTCAAACCTGCATTTTTTTCAGCGTATGAATAAAATTTGACCCATTTTGACGTGAGGACCCTCGAATACCCTCAAAAACTTTCTCAAAATCATTGATCACCTAAAATTTAAATTTGCTGGTCTGAAACTGCTAGTTACAAATTTTCATGGCAATCGGCTTACAGTTGTCCCTTTTTGGAGAAAAAAAAAGGATGTACTTTTAAAAACTTTAGATGACTGTAGCTTTGTGGGGTTCAACTTGAGGCAAAAAAGTCTCACTTTGACATGATAAATCGCTCTCTGAGATCTCTCTAGTTCAACCTGGGACAACCAGAGTGAAAAAGGATAAAATGCTATATCTCTAAATTGGCGTGGAGGCGGCCTGGAAAAGGAGAAGCGATAAGGTAATCCACAAGCCTCTTGCAGCCTTGTAGCAATCTTCCTTGCAGTTATGGAACCTTTGGTTGCCGAAGCAAATCGACAGTGCAGGTCGGCAATCACATATCTCGTTTGCGGTGTCTAAAAATCTCTGCCTCTATGTTATTTTTTTAAAAGGAGAACAAATTGATATAATTCCTTGAGGTTTTTGCAAAATTTTCCTCGCACAGAGAAGGAAAATCACGGCAGTTTTAAAGATTTGCCGTTGAGTAGTTTTCCGTTTAAAAAATGAAGTATGACACGAAGTCTGCAACGTCGCAAATCGAGTTATGTGATTGCCGACTTACACCGCCAAAATGTAGTTTTGCAATCTTGTGGCAAGTTTAGTGGTAGTTGCTAATATTGCAGGCTTGCAACCCAAGCACAAAAACTGCTTCATTTGCAATCTTGCTGCAAGATTGCAAGATTGCAAGGAAATGCATCCCAGTGCCAATACTGCAATCTTGCAATAACCTTTTTGAAAGTCACTGTGCTTACTGGGGTTTCACGTGCTTACCAAGCAGTGGTAAAATCGGACCCATCACGTGAGGAGACGAGTCCAATAAATGTTGAATATCTCAGGCATGCATGGATCATGTGTCAAAAACTACAGTTCATTTTAAAGTTAAAAGTATAAAACAATGACAACAGTTTTCCTTCATCTATAGCAGTTGCAAAGAAAAAACAGGAAATCTTACATATAAGGATACACTTAAAAATCCTAAGTTATCTACATGTTCAGCACAATAACTGTTCTGGAAAGACAAACCTTTGCAGTATGTTGTAAAAAAAACCCTCTGATTATGCATTATTTTTCTAGAATTGCTTCAGGCCTTTGATTGTTGGGTGGAGAAGTGAAGTAATTACACAAATGAGGTATTTGCAAACAATTATTTTATTACACTGATGTAAAAAAAAGAGAGAAAAAAAACTGAAAATACACATAAAACAACAGATACAATTGCCTTACCATTTGGCTGAGGGACACAGTTAAGCCTGTCTACATCGGGAGGAGACTACAACAGCGAGACAACAATGCGGAGAATTTTGACAAGAAAAAGAGTGCTCCTATAATTTTCATTTGAAAACTCTGGTCAAAAACACATTTAACTCAGACAAATTTTCCACGAGGCCGAATTTTATAAAAATAATATGGGGATTTAAGAATGAAAAATTCCTCATCTCAGTGTCTCCCCCCCCCCCCCCCNAATACCCTCCTCTTGCCTTTTTTCTTTCCTTGCTCTTTTGTGGTTCTAAAATCCCGACAAAAGTAAAATACTATTATTTTTAAATACTAACTGTAAGAGGACATCTATTGGCTTCGTTTTTAAAAGGATGCATGCTATCGAAAATTAGTTTTGGAAGTTGATACATAGATTGTGCAGTCTATCTTCAATACATCAATAAATTTTGATAGATTAAGGACACAGAAATCTTTTCTCCACAAATGATTTGGAAAATCTGGCTTTTAGACTCATGATGGGTACCGATTTTACAGAATAGTCCTTACCGTCACTTTACTTTCTACCATAGTTCGTGAGTGATATTTTTTTAGCCACGATCGCGTAGTCCTGACCTTAACATAAACTTTTGAGGTTTTTCACACATTTTCACCCTCGAGGTCATTGGAGGAAAATTTTTTTTAACAACCTCCGTAAAGATGTACCCAATATTTAGTGATGAGAAAATGACGAGCGTCCTTTTTACAAATCTATTCATTATGCCATTTTCAAGAAAGCAATTTGGCTCAATTACAAAAAAAAATGCGTCCTTTCAGTTTCAAAAAAGTTAATATGTATCTGGTCACTGATACGAGATGTATACATCTAATAAGAATAATACAACAGACAATAAACCAACAGGGACATGCATGATTCATCCTTTTTTTGTTACAAAAATAGAGGTACCTACGAAGGATGTAACATAATTAATCTAATGATTATCATTTCAACTGTCATTAAAATACAGGTTGAGACGATGCGACTCAAGATGCAATAATAAAGACAGTTACATTGATGAAACCAAGAAATCAAACGAATTCATCATGTAGAACCATGGGTTTGATGGGGAATAAACTCACTCATGTGATTTAGTTTTTCTTTACTTTTAAGCAAGGTCAGTAAAACAAAACAGAGTATCTCGAGTAAGTCCTCCAGGATTTACGCCTCTAATTGTTTACTGATAAGGTATCAAAGAAAATCATTTATTTGTGCATTCCTGAACATTTTTACTTGAATGCGCCTACAATACGTGAAAGCGCTTAAAATATGCAGAATATCAACGAGAGAAAGGAGAAAAAAAGCAGTGGTGAGAGAAGAGAAATTAGTCTTCTCAGGGCTTACCATTTGGAAATGTATTTTTTGTTACAAAACTGCCATGTCGACCCATTCCTTCTAGGTACAGTTTAGCGCCTTTCGTTACAGTCTAAAAAGAAATGAAGAGAAAAAAACATAAAAAAACGGAAACAAAAGATACAAACAATATGCTAATTCAGAAGGAAATTCTCTCAAAAAATTCCTCCTAGCAATTGTTTTTTTAGATCTCAGTAAAAGCATTCGCTCAAAAATAGTATCTCTCTAGTGGATGACTTACTTTTTTGTTGTGGTCCGATCCTTTAATCATATTTTTCTGTGATTACACGATGGCCATTTTGAGTGTTCGATAACACATCTTCAGGTGTAAAATTTTTTCGCGATTATTCCGCACTTCAAAAACTAAAACGATAACATGAAAAAACTGTAGTTTGCAAAAACGTTCACTAGGTATTGGTACTAATTAACTGGTATCCTTGTTATCATGTTGTTGTTTTTGTCAACTGATTCGTTTATCATATCTGATATTAAAAATCTAACACATATAGATGAGCTATTGAACACTCTAAATGGACGTGTAATCACAGAAAAATACGAACAAAGGATTGGGCCGTAACAAAAAGTGAGTCAACGGGTGATCATGACATCCGACAGAGTGATAAAACCCTTGGTATTCACCTAAATCGGCACTCGAAAATTTGCGAGGAAAGCCCCAAGAGCTGATGAGAGCAGAGTCAATACGATTTTTCGCATCAGCCCGCGGTTCACGATCGATGAGGGAACTGGGCGTTAATGGGTTTTAGATACAGGTCTAATTACCTCTCCCCGAGTTTTGGGTTTTCCATCGACGAACTCGATGCGATTGACTCGGCTATGCCTTCAAGTTCATTGATTCCGAACTTATACCTGGCCTTTTGGTATTCGATCTTGCTTTAATAGCAAAAGACGCTGGTATTCTATCCCCTCATTTGAGCGGATACCAAATGGCCCGGCCTTGGTATCAGATCTCGGATCTGAACTCAAACCGTGGCGGCCGCTTATTAACTCAAATCGACGCCTACATGATACCTCCACCACGGCACACTTTTGTTCCAATTCACTTTTCACTGCTGAAAAATTACTGCGCGTGACAAAGAGTCTGGGTGTCAAGCTAAGCGTACCGAAGCAAAATGTATGCAGGATTATAACTTGATTGATATGTTATTATTAATTCTTTATCTATTTAAAGTCCCTCGAAAAAAGAATGTTTGCGGAGGGGCTCTTCGCAGACGGGCCAAAACCAAGTCCGCGAAGTGAGGGGATTACAGAGGAGCAAATTACATGAGGGGGGCTCTTAAGGGGAGGAAGAAGAAGAAACAAAGAGAAAAAGAAAAAAAAAAAGATGGTATGACTAAACAGCTTAAGAATTTAGGATTCGCTAAATTTTAATTCAAGTTAAGTACTAGGTTTCGAAAAAAATTCTCTTGAAGAATGACAATATTAATCCTTGAATTAGTCTGAGAATTCGCCTCGCATAAAGAAGAAAAATCACGGAAATATTTAAGAATCGATTGACGATGGGTAATTTTCTATTTAAAGAATAACGTATCAACGGTGAAACTCCCAAACCACGCATCTCGTTTCAGTGTTTTAAAATCGCCGCTCCTATTTGATTTTTTCAAAAGAGAATAAGTCAACATAATTCTTCGAAATTTCTTTCGGCAGAAAGTAACCCATGAGGAGGGGGGCTCCCCTCCCGCCAAAAATTTCTCAAGATTCCTCTTTGGTCGCAAAATTGACGTCGATTCTCCAGAAAAAGACGGTTTTCCAGGTAATCGACCCTGAGGACTCTGAATTTCATGGTCCCTAAGCTCCGCTACCCGCCCTTTTGGGCAGAAACCGCCTTTTTTTAGAGAATCGACGTCAATTCTGCGACCAAAGAGGAATCTTGAGAAATTTTTGGCGGGGGCGGAGCCCCCTCCTCATGGGTTACTTTCTGCCGTTCAGAGGGGTCAATTAAAACTCTTGGGGGTCACTTGAGATGTAAAAGTGTTCTGCTCCTCAATTTGGATGCAATCAATTTGCGATTCGGAAAGGAGCCCCGATTTTTAAAATTGGGGCCCCCGTTTACCCCCAAGGGGAGCTAGAGGAGCTTCGGGACCATGAAATTTGGATTTCTCGGGGTCGATTACCTGGGAAATCATCTTTTTCTGGAGAATCTACGTCAATTTTGAGACCAAAGAGCAATTATGGAGGGGGGTACTGTCCCCCTCTTTAGGGGGTCATTTGTGGGCCTTGGATGGGCCGATTATGGATTTTTAGGGGTCAATTTCACGTGAAATTTTCCGTGTTTTCCAATTCTGATGCGATTAATCCGCAATTCGGTCGGGAACCGTGACTTTTAGCATCGTGACCCCCCCTTTACCTCCCAAGGGGGGTGGAGGGGTTTCGGGACCACGAAATTCGGATTCCTTGGGGTCAATTCCCTATTCAACCCCGCGGTCTCCGACTTCGTACGACCTAAAACAACCGAGAAAAAGGCCTGGTACGGGTGGTCTAAAACACCCTGTATCTTAAATAATGTCAGAAAGAATATGTTATGTTAATATTTGGAGAAATACATAGTTTGTTTGATCAAAACCCTAATATTTCATCATTATATGCTCCTAAAATTTATTTGCCCGAAAAAGAGGACGTAACACAATCGCATTTTTTACAATCTTTAGGAAGACAGGTTCACATTGGCATTTCATGGTTGTGACAACTTCAAACTCCAACATATTCTACTTTAGAATTGACCTTAGGTTGCGCGATTTTATCACTTACGTATCTGTGGAAATAAAGTAAACTTCCAAACGCATTTTACTGAAATTTAAGTTTTTGCCTATAGCCCATTTTTCTGGCGATGTATTCCATTGTCTAAAATTAGTTTTTATATTGACAGCGAAACATACCTCGCATACACTTTGTCTAGAATCCCATATTTGCTCCCAATTTTGTAGAGCTCATGGTCATTTCTTTCCAGCACCACTCCGATGATATTGAGTAGATCTGTTTTCCCTTAGTCAAGATCTGGAATGCGGATCACGACATTTATACCAGTATCTGTTAGTTTAGGTTAGCATTTGTTAAGACGATGTAATGATCGTTTTTACCTGCGCTGCATTCTTGCACATTTGTTAAATATCGGTTTCTGACACTTGGCACATCACTCACATTTATTTTACATACAGTCCTCACTTAAATAAAAATTGTACACTTCAAAAACAGATTCGTCAACTAATAACACAATTCAATTGCAAGTAATCATTCAAATTAAAAATAATAATACATGCGGAGCGACACATCATACGTGCAAAGGAGCTTCCGATAACTGACTTGTTGACAAACACATGAATTCTCCTCTCATCTGTGCAATCAGCTATTCTCACGGACCCACGCATGAGCCATGAACAGGTATGTCTCTTAATAAGTACCCAGTGACATCTACTCGTCAACGCGGTTGTCATATTGGACCCTCAAATAATTTTCTTTAACGTCCGCGGATTTCAACCTTAGCAATCAGTATTAAATCAATCACTTCTTTCTTTTTTAAAAACCAGGGATTTAGAGCTGAGGTTTGAGGCAGCATCATAAACGGAGCGGCATCGGCGCGCAAGGCGGAGGTCCGGCGCGGACTTTCATGCCGCGTCGAACAGTGCGCCGGGGATAACTTTTTGATGCCACCTCAATTAGCAGACACGTCGGACGCTAGCGCTGCGCCGCGGGCCCGGCTGCCGGTCGGCTAATCGCACCGGGCTGTGTTTTCAACCCTTCCTCGGCGTCCACTTCTTAGAACTTTTCGGCGAGGCGTGGGCCGCCGCGCCGCCAAGACAAAGGGGTGTTCCGCGAATTCATCGCCAAGTCCAAGGGTCGCATACCTCGGCGGTCTTCTGGGACAACCCCGTCGGTAATGAAGCTGGGTGGCGGGACCGAAAATTGATGCTGTATTGGGCCGCGAGCCGAGGGTCCGGCTTCAAAAGTTGAAGCCCATGTTGGTCCCTAAGCCAGCATCAAACCTCAGCATCAGCGCTTGATGCCGGCTCGGCCGGCACGCCGGCATTGGGCTTCAATGTCCGAAGCCGGCGACGGCAGGTTGCGCGCATTCAGCGCAGCGCCGCCGCATGCCCGCATGACCGCTACCTGGGCGTACGGCATTAATGCTGAAGCTACGAGTCGATGCTGTACGGCATAACCTCATGAGGCGCCTCAAATGCCGGTTAAAAACGTTCCTTTCAGTTAAAACTGGTCTTCACTGCTCCGTTTAAGCATGCAGTTAGTTCTGGAATTCACTGGTGAAAACTAGTTCTGACAAAGGGGGTTTGTGGACACTAGTTTTCACTGATTTCGAGTTTTTACTGTAACATATACATTGAATCTGAGAAAAAAAAAAAACAAAAACGAAAAGTAATCAATTACAAAAAAATGGCATGGAAAAAAAATCCGCACAAAATAAACAACTGGAAACTTACTCTGTATGCTAATTCCGAATTTTTGACATACTCTTCGTGGATTGATCCCAGTTCACTCTCATGAGGATTAAACGTTAACTCATGAACTTGAGCTCTGTCAGCTAGCAAACTAGCCTGTGGGAATTTGGCGATGCAGTTTGCCAAAGAGAGTGCTTGACCTAGGACTAAAAAAAACGCTGGAAATAGCTTCACGTCAACCTTGTTGTAGAAAAGCAAAGAAATTAATAATTGGTAAATAAATGGTTGCAATGAATTCAGAGACAAATGGATGCCTCTGGTACCCACCAGGCTTGTGCGATTACTTACATTTAAATAAATAAAATTTCTGAGTGATCTAGACCACTCATAAACCATTTGTACCTCATGATAGGCTCAAAGAGAACTGTAGGAAAAAAAGTTTGTTACCTTAATCAGCCCCTCATGATATGTTGAAAATATTTACAGCCCTTCTCAAAAGTCTTCTATAGATATATTGGGGGGAGGGGGGACGCATATTTCTCGGAATTTTAAAACGATGAGGGTGTAACTTCAGATTCGGATTTCATAACAAAAAACCTTGCAATTCCGGTCACATTTTTCAGACTTGCTCTCTTTTGTAACGTACTTGAGGGTAATTTTGCAGCAAAGTCAAATTGGACGTTGCTAATTCACTTAAAAAAAAAAAAAAAAAAAAAAAAAAAAAAAGTAATTAAAATCTCGGAGAGGACGACAAAGCCTCTCTTTTAATATGCCAAATCCTGTCACTCCATCTCCAAAACTGGGGTTTAGCATTTGAGTCCACCAATTCAATTTGAAAGAGTGAAATTTAACTTTAATTAAAATCCTACATGAGAAAGGAGGAGTATCGTTTTGAGCCTTTACCGGCCCCACCTGGATTTTGCTGAATGTTTCACATTTTCAAAGTACTAGTCCTAGCTAGACTCTGTGCCAAATATTTTACCGAAGAAAGCCCGTGCAAAGGTGCAGCAGCGCCTCAAACCCAAAATCCTGGCATCGAAAAATCGTTATTTTCGTTGTTCTTTTCGACTGTTTACACTCTTCCAGCAGATGTTTTCTACATATTTTTTTGCGTACTTTCCATTCCTGGCTTTAAAAAGGCCTTCGATGAATTGTAAGAGGTCTGGCGGTCTATTGTTGCCATTTATGGCCCATTTTTAGGGGTTTTTTCAGTTTTACACACGTAGAACTCAATTTAAACTAAGAACCGTGTACGTTTTTGAAAAGAACGCAAACAAATGAATAAAAATTGATCAGTAAAACTTTTTTCTGCGTTGCCAAATTTTCGAGAAAAATCGTTCCAGAGAGTCAAAAATGGCAAAAATTCGATAAATTGCCACGCCTAAGGTTCAAGAAAGTGGGATACAACTTTTATATTGACGTGCGTAACAGCTCTTACTCGTATATACAACACTAGTCGTGATTCACGTCTAGCCGGGGAGTGCCCCTGGACCTCAGTTCTTCGCTTCGCGATAAACTTGTGACTCGCTCCGCGAGCCGCCGCGCCACCGCCCCGCATGGTTTTTAACATAGATGAGAAGACAACATCTTTGTCTTAACCTTCTTTTTCACCAAGTTTTACAGAAATTGATGTTCCAGGAGCCGGGACCGCATTTTGGTGCGGGGCCGCCATCTTGGATTTTGAAATGTTGAAAATCTGACGAAAAATTCGAGTTTCCCATCGAAATACACCTCCTGATACCGAATTTCACCAAAATCGATGGATATCAGGAAGCGAGATAGCATTTTAGGCCACAGTCACCATCTTGGATTTTGAAAATATGAAAATCTGACCAAATATTCAAGTTTCCCGTCGAAAAGTACCCCTTCATACGGAGTTTCACGAAAATCAATACAACAGGAGGCGACTCAGCAAATTAAGCCACGGCCGCCATCTTGGATTTTGAAAGTTTGAAAATCCGACCAAAAATTCGAGTTCCCCGTTAAAAAATACCCTAGGGTCATTCCATGTCAATTCGAACGGAGTTGTAACCACCCGACTCGGATTTCCATGATTTTTTTTTTACTTAATCCATCGGTCAATGTAAGAAAAAACCCAAATTTTCAGCTCCATATCTTCAATATTTCTTGAGAAATTTTTTTTTGAAGTTTTATGGCCTTCTCTAAAAATGCACTCTCCAGACTCAGAAAACGGGAATGACTCGTGTTTGAAAAAACCTCATAAGTCTTGCAGTTTTAAAGATTTTAAGCTGAAATTTGGCACACTAGTTCGTGTTAGTATGTATTTTAAGGGAAAAATTCCCAATTGAACCCGACTCACTCAGGAGGGCCAACTGAGCCGAAGATACGCCGTTTTAGCCCTGATTTTTAACGCTAAAAACTAGTTTTCTTAAAATGGGCATAGCAACCGAAGCTAACGAGATATTGCCAACTTTTTTTTCTGTAAATCAACTTCAAAGTATGCTCTAACTGATTAAAAAATAAAAATCGTGGGTATGCAGCTTCTTCATTGGTTAATCACACTTTTTAGCAAAAAACGCTCAAAAAAATTGAGTCTGGGGGTAGGGTGCGGCTTATACGAGACATTAAAAAGGTTGAATTTTGAAAATGACAAGGGACCCCGCCAAAACGTTCCTAATAGTGTAAAAACAAACGTTGTAGAACAGTTTTGCAGTTGGTCAACATTTAGAGGTCGCGACGGGCTCTTAAAATTGCAAAATTCGGCTAATTTTCGCATTTTTTCAACCATTTTGGCAAATTTTCTCAGGCCTCACGGAGAGTTCTAATTGATAATTTTATTCATAAATAGGCAATATATAACCTAAAATGCATCCCATCCTCCACCTTAAGCCCCAAGCCCCTCCAACCCCCCTCCCTTACCGATCCAATATAAATACACTCTTTATAAACTACGCTATTTTGGTAGTGACCAGAAATCTAAAGTAACACTGGTCAACACGGTTTCAAATGTGATTGTCTCAGAGTAGTTTTTAGCGCTGAGTCCGAAAATGACCTCCGTCATGCTGGGTCAGTTCGATTTTCCCCGGAAACATCAGGATTTTCCTAAAAAATCGAGCTTTTCCGGTGAAAAATCAACTTTCCGGAAAATCTGTGCATGATGGAGGAAAGATAAGGTCATTTTCGGATTAGCAGCTAAAATTACATGGGGAACCATAAATTGTATGCCTATCAAAGTTTCCGTTCTGTTCCAAATATCGAGGTTTTTCCGGACTAGTGCCCCTTTCCGCCCATGTAACGAATGTAATACCAGTCCGATTGATTTGCGTTGGAAAGGAGGGAAAATATTTTTTCTCAGGCGACTGGTGGAGTAGACTCCACTAAATAATTGCCGCTGCAGCCGCATATGAGCCTCGTTTTTTTGCAGAACCTTTGAAATATCCAGATTCCGAAAAGAGGGGATGTTTTTAAACGTTTTTGATTTAAAGAGGTGCATTTATTTTCGAAAAATCGATTTTTCCAAAAAATTGATAGATTTTGGAAAAAATTGAGGGTCATTTTCGGCTGCAGCGGCAATCATTTAGTGGAGTCAATTCCACCAGTCGCCTGAGAAAAAATATTTTCCCTCCTTTCCAACGCAAATCAATCGGACTGGTATTACATGCGTTACATGGGCGGAAAGGGGCACTAGTCCGGAAAAACCTCGATATTTGGAACAGAACGGAAACTTTGATAGGCATACAATTTATGGTTCCCCATGTAATTTTAGCTGCTAATCCGAAAATGACCTTATCTTTCCTCCATCATGCACAGATTTTCCGGAAAGTTGATTTTTCACCGGAAAAGCTCGATTTTTTAGGAAAATCCTGATGTTTCCGGGGAAAATCGAACTGACCCAGCATGACGGAGGTCATTTTCGGACTCAGCGCTAAAAACTACTCTGAGACAATCACATTTGAAACCGTGTTGACCAGTGTTACTTTAGATTTCTGGTCACTACCAAAATAGCGTAGTTTATAAAGAGTGTATTTATATTGGATCGGTAAGGGAGGGGGGTTGGAGGGGCTTGGGGCTTAAGGTGGAGGATGGGATGCATTTTAGGTTATATATTGCCTATTTATGAATAAAATTATCAATTAGAACTCTCCGTGAGGCCTGAGAAAATTTGCCAAAATGGTTGAAAAAATGCGAAAATTAGCCGAATTTTGCAATTTTAAGAGCCCGTCGCGACCTCTAAATGTTGACCAACTGCAAAACTGTTCTACAACGTTTGTTTTTACACTATTAGGAACGTTTTGGCGGGGTCCCTTGTCATTTTCAAAATTCAACCTTTTTAATGTCTCGTATAAGCCGCACCCTACCCCCAGACTCAATTTTTTTGAGCGTTTTTTGCTAAAAAGTGTGATTAACCAATGAAGAAGCTGCATACCCACGATTTTTATTTTTTAATCAGTTAGAGCATACTTTGAAGTTGATTTACAGAAAAAAAAGTTGGCAATATCTCGTTAGCTTCGGTTGCTATGCCCATTTTAAGAAAACTAGTTTTTAGCGTTAAAAATCAGGGCTAAAACGGCGTATCTTCGGCTCAGTTGGCCCTCCTGAGTGAGTCGGGTTCAATTGGGAATTTTTCCCTTAAAATACATACTAACACGAACTAGTGTGCCAAATTTCAGCTTAAAATCTTTAAAACTGCAAGACTTATGAGGTTTTTTCAAACACGAGTCATTCCCGTTTTCTGAGTCTGGAGAGTGCATTTTTAGAGAAGGCCATAAAACTTCAAAAAAAAATTTCTCAAGAAATATTGAAGATATGGAGCTGAAAATTTGGGTTTTTTCTTACATTGACCGATGGATTAAGTAAAAAAAAAATCATGGAAATCCGAGTCGGGTGGTTACAACTCCGTTCGAATTGACATGGAATGACCCCCTAGGTTACAAGTTTTCACAATAATCCGTCGGTGAAAATACGGTGTACCGATGCGAAACTTTTGGGACAGCCTATGTAGATAGGGATCAGTGGGATGTAGAGGTTGTATATTTAGTGATAGGTTTAGTCAGGGTAGATTGATTAGTGGGTTGAGGTTTGGGATTAGATGAAGTTGTAGTTATAGGTAACAGGTTTTGTGGTGGAGGAGGTATGTTAGTAGGTTGGTTTATAGTATTATTGTTAGTTGATGATTGGGGGGTAGTTGTCCAAGTTTCTTTTTGTTGGGATTCTACATTATTCATTATTTTGGGGGAAAAAATGC